TCTTAAAATCAGTCAGATTGACCACTTACTAGTTTTGCACGACCAGTATATATTGTCTTTCTTGGGTCTCTCAACATTGGAAATGGCTTATATTGTATCTTTCCGACGTTCTGTAATAGTTTCAGAATAGGACGACATTTGATAGTGAATTTTTTGACATCAGTCAGTAACTGGTTCACACTCAACATAATTGATATCTAATGATAACGGTTTCTCACTAGAACCTCTAGAATTACCTCTGAAAATCAGCACATGATCATTATCAGTGATGGAAACTATATAATTCAATAATCTCCACAAACTTTTTACACTCACAACTGATTCCTTGTCCATTTATCTAATTTATATTTTAACTCATGTACCATCATCAACATCTATCTGGTCACAAAACGTAACACCAATAACAATTACATTGAAAGACTATGAAACCATCGTTGTAATGAAGATAAGAGATTCATGATGAATGCTCTATAAGGTATAATTTAAATTAAATACCAACAAGACAGATTTTTATAGTCAACTGTCCTAGGATTTTGGAATATTACCATTTTTCATTAAACAGTAAAAGGAGAGCAGAAATCTGGAAGCATTAGACGGCTGTTCCGTCCTGATGTAGGACTCCTCAGCAGCGTGCATTAACGATCCCTAAACTGGAATCGTGGAGAACAAATTATTTCATTTAACCATTTTGTATGCGTTTATTAATTTATCGGTTCATGTGAAGCCAGATATATAAACCGTTCAACGTTTATTTTACCTACAAGTATTCGAGAACATTACATCACTTGGTTGAAATTGCTTAATAAAAAGTCCAATAATCGAAAAACTTGTAACCACAGGTCATTCGATCAAAGCGGAATCTATGTTCAATGTCATCTACAAGGTGTGTAGAAAGCTGCCAAAGGTAGTTATATTCTGTTTTCTTACTATTGCTGAAGCACTAGATATACATCTGGAAAAACCAGAATTATGTATCCAAAGGAAACTGATACAACCTCTCCCTCCACCGTGGTCTTAATCTCTCGTAATTTTCTCCCTTCACAACTATTTGCTTCCCTTCTATCTTCTCTATAGACCTTTTGCACGCAACTGATCTGTTTTTGTTTCTATGATCTTCCTGATTACAGTTTATCTGAATTTCGACATTTTATCTTATCACGCCGGCCTTCCCTTATCAATTATAAGTTCCTTATTTATCATCATAATGTAAATGTATCCACGCCATGCCACAAAGGTCTCTAACCACTGGTTAAAATAATCACGTGGAATTCTTATGGTACTACTTCATCACTCTATCATCTTGCCCAAAAAGGTAGAATTTGTATGTTACTTTTGATGGATTAAACATCTAATATCCAAGGAATCCAATGATATAGTAACACAGAAAACCATAGTTTCCCCCATTAGTATGATGTCTACAAAATAAGAGTATCTTTATGGATTGACTAGTTTCAAGACAGATACAGTTTGAATATTCTACAATGAATGCGGTCAATTGTCACTTTCTGTTTCAACATAAATATTGTAGATCAGTGAGTGTGGTTGGGTTTTCGGACATGAACCAATACACTATGTTTAAGATCAAGGAAAAGACGATCTGACTTCAATATAAGTCGTATTTATGCACATCTACATGAGTTCAAATCAGACTATTGTGTTTGAAATCTAGACTAAATCGTTCATTACATAACTTTGCCCGTCAAAATGCAGTTAACTACTTTTTTTCATGCTTCATATCCTAATCTATTCAGACCTAAAATAAACACGAATTAAACCTTCAGTAACGACCAGGTCAATAAGACACATTAATGAGTATATTAAGTCTGAATTTTCATATTACAGACAGACTTTGATGGGATAACCATTTTATCATACTGTGAGACTGCTAAACAGTTTATTCACAACTCCAACGAAGATAGAATGCAGAATCTTCAATCATTGAGTTATGGTTCAACGATTTATATTTCTAAGTTTAATCAACTCATAATATTTTATGAGCATCATTCATTGAAATTAGTGACATGTTGTCTTACATACAACACAGTTAAACTCCACTGTTTATAACTCCTCATAAGAACTTCAAGAATTATTTCTCTATGTTCGTCATCAGTAAACACAAAATGATTGTTATTAGATGGTGACAGCAATGTAAACAAAAATAGTAACCTGCATTATCACCGTTATATTTCACATGAAAAATGATAACCAGAACATCAACCATACTGACGAAAATAGTAAAACAACAAAACGGATATATGTTTATTAGATTCTGTTAAGAATATTGTAAGACGAAGCTTCTTCTTTCATGAAATCCTTGTGAACCAATCACAAAACATAAAGCATTACCACTCTATGAAGATTTACATTTTAATATTCTTTTCATTATTTCTTGAATTATCTCATTACGATTTGATAGATCAATCTGAAAGTAAGAAAAAAAAATGCTTCTTTTCTTTTTGGTAGTGGAAATGTGTTCTATTGATACAAAATCAATAATATAACATTAGAAGAAAAGAAATTTAATGATATTGTATCTTGACAAATACGAGTTACATAGGTGAGACTATAATTTGTGAATGACCTTTGAGAGACGCTGAAGTGACCTGGGGAGTAGACATTTACTGATTAAGACTAAATGAAGGTTATAAAGTAGTTAGAATTTTCATTTGCAGTTGATGGTTAAGGTTAGGAATTAGATTTAGGGTTTTCATCATGAACTGATAACAGCTATAATGTCAAAATTCAGAACTTGTTATCTTATATCTGATTGGTTGAATCATAAATTATAGTCTCCCCATTACATATATACAATTTGTAGTGTCAGTTACTATATTAAGCCTATATATAAATTATTCTAGCTTCTTGGACAGGCTAATTTATTCCTTCTTCTCTAGTCACGTTTTAACCTTACTAATTATTCACTTATCAACCTTGACTGTTTATTATATGAGCGTATATATGTGTGTGTACACTTCACGTTCTATTCATCATGTATGCAGCTTATTTTTGTGTGATTATAAATATCGATTAACGCTTGCTTAAATGGAGTTGGCTTAAACGACTTCTTCCCTGAATGTCGTTTCGTTTCGTTTCACTCTCTTTTCTTCTCTTCATTCCTCTGAATGTCATTTATTGATCATATAAATAACTCAAATCTTTTGTCAGACTATAAGACTAATCGAAATAAAAGATCATATAAAACTCGATTCAATTCAATTTAATTAACTAAGAATTGATGCAAATGCATGACGTTAGTACTTTGTCATTCGTTTTTCCTTCTTTTGAACAGGACAAAATACGACATATCGGGTTGAATAGAAGAAATCAAGATCAGAAGTACGTGTAACTGGACTAGTAGTGCAATTTTCTTTCTTATTTTTTTGTGATTAAACTCGATTTGTGACGATTTTTTGATTAACAATTTGTCATTAAAGTTTTTAAATGGTAGGAAAAAGAAACCGATCAATGTTAGAATAACACTGAAAACCTGAAAGCATTGGATAGCCGCTTCATCCTAGCATAGGACTCCTCAGCAGTCCACGACTCCGCATGCAGGAATGAAACACAGGACATTCGGTCTCACGCGCGAACGCTTGGCTTCTTGACCACTGAGCCGGCGCATTCAGCAGTGTTAATATCTAACTTCGATCAATCTATAATCTTGCCCAAACCTTCATCGATCGCCTGAGGTAGACGACTCCCACACCCGACAAGGATAGGACTCCACTGGTCATGGCTTCTCACCAGAACTCTAAGAATTACCTAGAAAAGCTGGTCACTAGAGAGCACATGATAATTATAAGTATAAGGTGACCAGTGAAAATGAACCGTATCGAGTGTGGAAGGCGGTCGTGCAATATTGTGGATTGGTTAAAATCGGACATTGACGTAGTTGGATCCTGGCGGTCTAGAAGTTAAGCATTAGTGCGCGAGACCGAACGTTCTGGGTTCGAGTCCCGCGTGCGGAGTCGTAGATGCGTGGTGCTGAGTAATCCCATACTAGGACGAAACGACCATTCAGTGATTCCAGATCCCCAGTGGTAGTCTAACATCGATCGGTTGATAATCTCCATGAAATCTCAACAATCTCTACAACCCTATGCTGACAGAACTGATTCTTTTTTAAAACTAATGAAATTTACCACACAGGTGAATTACAGTGTAGAAATTTACGAGTAGAGTTCGATAAAAAAACTATAACACAATTCTACCATCTATAAATCTGTCGGCACAGCAAGTGTGGTAAGTATATATAACCGTGAAAATAATACCATGGCGTATATGTCAAAATACCTAATAAATTATTTATGGACTTGGTGTAATTAACAAAGTCTTGGGTAAGGTAAATCAATTTATTGTATTATGCAAAATCACATAATGCATCTGTAAAATATGAAAACAATACAGTGAATACAACAATTGCAAAACTTCCTTAAATTGTCGCTTCCAAACTTCATCGTACTTCTATTTCTGTTGCTAATCCGACCGCTTTTGATTTTCTTTCTCATCTCTTCGTTTCCTTCTTCTAACAGTAAGAATCCTATTTCCAATTACCGATACATAGTATTAATATCTGCCAGTATAAGTAGAATATACCACAATGGTTATCAAGAAAAAATATCAATTTAAGCTGTTTTTACTTCCTAGTTGCAACTATGCACTCAAAAGTTCCATGTCGAATGCATTGAAACCATAAATATATACGTATATCATTTAAACAGTATTTCTAACTTACCTCTATTATTGAAGCCCCCTTCATTGAACAGATATGATCGACCAACGGAATACCACGTGTACCATCTTGTCTTTTCGGTGATGGTACAGTAGCCAAAAGAACAACTGTAGGATGTTTTATATCACGTTGACTATTTGTAGGTAAATTTGAAATTGATGAAATCAACTTTTCAATTAGATAAGTGAACTTTGATGAGCATAGCTCCATTTTACCAATTTCGTCAATGATACAGACTATTAAATCATTTTTTCTTACATTGTTATTGGAAGAAACGTTTTCCAAATTGTTTATAATAGACTGTTGATTATTATCATTTCCAATGAAGAAGATAGACCAAAAGAAAAGAGGAAACTTTGAGTCTTTTTCACTAGATAAAATACTAATTATCTATTTATACTACATAATTTAAAATCACTTTGTTACAATGACCATCATGAATTACCTCAATGAAATTAGCTGACCTGTAAACAAGGAATAGCCAAACTCTCAAACGATGATATATTTACTAGGTACTGACCAACACGAGGTTGATGTTGTACTTGTTGACTTGAATGGTTAATTAGGCGAGCTAATGAAGCTCTAGGATATGTTCGAGATGAATCGAATAGAACTACATCAAATCCAAAACGAGTAGACTTTCCTGAATAGAACTGTCGAACTTCTTCTGTCTTAAAACCAACCGCCTGTATACCATTTTTAAGAAGCTCTTCAAAGACGTGAGAAACCAAAGTGGTTTTACCGATACCTGTCAAAAGATACAAATTTACTTACAACCAAGTACATGTAAATAGAATAGGAAAATAAATATTCACATAACGCTGAATGAAAGTAACATGTTAAGATATAGAAAAAAGCGTCACAATATTTGAGTAATGTTCGGTACCCAATAAGACTAAAGCATCAATAAATGACAGTTATCAATAATAATAAGTAGGAACTATTTACAATTATCAACAGTAAAAGATGACATGGAGTTTCTGTGAGAAAAGATGTCTCAAATATATAGAAAAATTTAGCTCGAAAAATATCATTATTTTATGAAGACACAAAAGAACATAACAGTATTCGATAATTTGTATTATTCCAAACTAACCCATTCCTTCGGGAATACATTTCTTGGTCACTGGTAAGAGTGTGGAGTGATTATTTATTTCCTTGTGTATTCTAGTTTCTCTACATTCAATGTGTAAATTAACTTAAGTTTGAGGTTAAGAGTATGTATCGATGAATAATGCCACCCCCAAACCAAGTAGTGTAATAGGAACTTAATACTCGTTCTCAAACTTATGATTTGTGCTGAACCAAACTGACATCACAAAGGCGCCAAAGATGGCCCAGATTGGTATAAGCCGCTCTGGCTTTCACTATACGTGCGTTGATCTCATTACTCAGGCCACCACTAGCACTTATGCAGCGACCCAGATACACGAACGTCTCGACTACTTCTATCTGTTCACTACCCAGGGTGAGTACAGGATTAGAATCCTGCCAGTCTTGTAGAAGTACTTTGAACTTCGAAGGTGCAAAGCATATACCGTACCTACGGACATTGATTGCCAACTGATTAAGTGAGGATTGCATGCCTTGGGCATTATCGCACAGTAAAACAGTATCATCCGCATACTCAAGATTGAGAAGTCTTTCTCCAGGCAACAGATCCACACCTCCATTACTTACATCCATCAGAGCTGTTTCCAGAATGTCATCGATGGCAAAGTTGAGGAGGAATGGTGAGATTGGGCAACCCTGTATAACCCTACTGCTTGAATGGAGATAGGTGGTAGTATGCCCTCACTCTACCCGAGATGTTATTAAACTTCTCAGGCACACCCTTCTTCAACAGACAATCCCAGAGAACAGTCCTGTCAAACGAATCGAAGGCGACCCTGATGTCAAGAAACACTACGATTGTTGGCCTTTGAAAAGTATGGCGGTGTTCTAACATTTGGTGGAGGGTGAAGATATGATCAATACATCCTCGACCAGAACGAAAACCAGCCTGCTTCTCGCAAGTCAATCTTTCTCGGGTTTTGAACAACCTACGAAGTATGACGGAAGCCAATAGCTTGGACGAAATCGAAAATAGACTTATCCCTCGATAGTTGTTACGGGAACGACGTGAACCCTTTTTAAAGATAGGGACAACTATCGACTCATTCCATGACGTCGGTACACTCTCTAGTTCCTAGACCTTTGTAAACAACGCCGTCAGTTCCTTAGTCAGAAAGTCACCACCATCTTTAAAAAGAGCCGGAGGTAAGTCATCTGGGCCAGGTGATTTGTAGCGTTTCAAGAGTTGGAGTTCCTTGCGGGCTTCCGCCTCATTTGGTGGATCAGTCGCCACCGGCCATGGAGGGCAGGACAGTCTGACCGATGTTGCCGGAGCAGCAGGCCAGTCGAACTGCCTTTCGAAAAATTCTGCCTATCGTCCAAGATGTCGATGGTTGTTAGTGATTGGCATCCCATCATCCTCGCAGATTGTTTCACACACACCAGACTTCTTGCCGCCAGTGGCTCGGATGAGTTGGAACAGCTTCCGGTAATTACCAGATGCCGCTGCTGCTTCCAGTTCATTAGCACGCTTCGACCACCAGGCTTCTCGGTCCTTAAGCAAGCTTTTCTCAATTTCATTACGTAACATCCTTCGTTTGTGGTCAAACTCACGGTCACCCGGAGTAGACCGACAGGCTTCAATGAGCTGTAAGTAGCCTGAAGAAATCCAGTGCTTATAAGCGGGACGTTTCGCGAAGCCGCAAGCGGCTTTACTCACCATTGTCATGGCGTCATGCAATTGCAACCAGTGCTCATCTATACTTTTTGGTGGAATAGTAGCTAGCCTAGAAACTAGCTCGGTTCGATACTTACTAGCAACAGAAGTTGCAACCAGCTTGCTAACATCAATCCGTTGGTGGCGGTCACTTCGTTGTACACTGAAAAGTAAGGTAAGATTGGCGCAGACCAGAGTCCAGATAGGTACTCCAAAAGGAGCGGCAGTCTTGTACACAACCACGCCAGCGGTAGCCGATCGCGATATGATCAATCTGAGCCCAGGCTTGAGATGCAGAGGGAGGATACCAGGTGGCACGTCGACAATGACTGTGACGAAAACTAGTGCTAGCCAGAAACAGGTTGTGGTCTGTGCACAGTTGCAGTAGACGATCCCCATTATCTGTCCTGCGACCAACAAGTCCCTATCGGTCACCTAAACGATTCTCTTATGTGCCCATACGCCCAATCTGACCATTCAAGTCTCCGGCTAGTACTACGATATCTGTCGAACGCACTTTCTGGAGAACAGTTAAGTGGTGGCAGAATTCATGTTTGATTGCATCCGGGCTGCAATCTGTCGGGGCATAGGCGATGACAAAAAGACATCGTTTCTCACGACGACTACTACCAATCACAGAAGAAAATGATTGAGGCATCAGTACATCAACCTGTGCCCCCAAATGCCCTGGTACGGCCAAGAGTGGGGAGAGTCCGCTCTCCCTCTCGAAATGCTCTCACATGGCCACGCGTATATAGCCTCTGTCAGGAAAGTCCTACTCATTGCCTTCTCGTGGCGGGGGTGTTGTTTACGAAAATAAGAGGACGAAAAGTGAATGTACGGCGCTTCAACCGGATTCCAAACCAACGGTGCACATGGGCTCCAGTATCCTGCGAGAACAAATGGCATATGAACCAATCATTGGTCACCGGCTACCATGGGACTGCATCTCCTCACGATGCTCCACTGCCTTGTGGATCAGACCTTCAGGTCAAAGGCTCGGGGTGTGACCCCCTAAGAAAACCACCTGCTTCGGTTTGGGCACCCATGCAGTATCACAGTCCTCACACACACCGAATGAGATTTGTGTGGCGCATATATATTTGGTGCCTCTTTGTACCAATATCTATATGTTGAAATAAATAAACAACATCAACCTGTATTTAGAAGCCGCGTTTTCAAAATAAACTGTACTTCTCACCCATAAGTTTCAAGTAAAAAAAGGAACCTTCACGTATCTAAAACAAACACTTATCATTTATTATATGTGTCTATATTAATTAGATAAATATGTTATATAAAGACATAATTTCAAATACATGAAGCCCATTAAAGCAATTGACACACACCTGGCCTCCCTGTAACTAGCAAAATATTAGACGTTGACATAGTGTGAGGGGTACCTGTTGAAGTTGAATAAATTCAAGCCTCCACACACTGGAAACGATTGTTTCTGGTTTAACTTGCACGTAACAGGTATCTCGTAAACTGAAAAATAAGAAGGCCATTACACTAACCACAAAAATGTATAATATAACTCCAATAGTGTATAAACAAATAGATAAATTCCGAACCGAGTAAAAATAATAAACGTTATAAAAATCCCACACAGATCAAGGTCTTATACAAACCGTATAAAAAATAAGAAAATCTAAGGCTATATTGATACACTATATAAAAATGAACAGATTCAGTTAATTCTATCCTAAGACATGTACTACTTCATGTGTGAGCTTATCCTGATAGCCTAAACTAATCATATTTGAAGCTGATAAAAAGAAAAAGCTTGAACAAAATGACACTAACAGATTTCGCCAGAACATAAAGAGGAAGTAAAAAGTTTAACCCCACACTTTTTCCTCTTTTTTGAGCAACAGGAGAGTTGTCACGTAACTAGCATTTTTACACTAAAGTCATAAAACAGTGACAACTTTTAGGGAATTAATTTGTTCAAAAAATTTCTCTACAACCATAAAATGAATTTAACATAGTGCGTAAGCCAAAGCGCAAGATGTATGTGCTCGTGGTGCAGATTGTACGACATCGTAAAAGCCAGTAACAACTGTCAATACTACTGCCTGCTTTTGGTGTCTCTCTTATAGAGAAAGAGTGGAAGTATTAACAGGTGGTAAGATTGTGTAGCCTTTTTATTGTATTTTCTGTGATATGAACAGAAATACTCCTTGATTATTGGTATTTTAAACGGTTATTTATCTATTCGGTTTCGAGCTCCAGAACGGACTCTTCTAGTTATAATAACTCTAGCTTAGATGGTAGAGCACATAACGTTGTTTCGTATTGACTTCGGGGTTTTGTTGTCTTTGCCGCTAGCGACGCAACGCTAGATCGTGTCGGAACATATTTTACATAATTGGTAGATTTTATGTAAGGGGTATGACTATGTGTCAAGTCCAAAATCTTATCAGACATTCCGGTCAGATTCGTCAAGTCTAAAAGCTGGTTAGCAGCCTAAAAGATTTGCCTTACAGTTGTTGGCAAGCATTGCATCCGTATTTATTATTTTTAAAAAGTCATCGATTTTGCAAAATCCAACTAATTACTTCATCTGTCACAATAACTTGACCCGTTCCCTAGCTCTCACTGGTTCAGTGGATGTAGTTGTTTCCCATCTGATAAAGGTTTGTTGAATAATCTTTAACCTATTATAGGCTTTCGCACTGCGAGACTGTTTATGAAATTAGACACCTCTGCTGCAACTTATGTTAGTAGAATTTCCAATAAGTATATATTTTGAGGCCTGTGAGCGTACGTTGGGATGAAGAAATTGGACTTCAATTCATATACACAGGTTTCGTGTACTCAGTAGTGGTAAGTTCATCGAACTTAACTTAGTTAATCGATTCCTTGGTTTCAGTGTTTATAAGTTTGATAAATATACTCCGTTCCAAGAAAGTGCATGATCAAGTGAGCAAAAAATGTACCAAAGAAAAAACATGTCGAACGATCAGAATGTGAACTCAAATATATATATATATATATATATATATATATATATATATACACCACAAGAATAGATAAACATGATGACCACAATCGTTAGTATCACAGAAAATATGCCGACAAAGCCAGAAATTATGTCACGTCCCGCAAATTTTTTGAGTCATTTTTCCTGTCGGAAAACGTATCGATCAGACAGTAATGGCGACTGCTTGAACTAGTTGGGCTCCTAGTCGCTTCGTTCATATTCTGGACAACACTTCCGGCTAAAAAATTCCTAGTAGACACTAGAGCCGAAGTTAGTGCGATCCCAGTTACCTTAGCCAGGCAACCGATTGCCAAAACTGAAGAACTCTTTGAGTGCAACTAGTAAAACCGAGATAAAGATGTTTGAAAAACAACTGCCGACATTAAACAGATTTCTTTAAGAGATGCGTCATCAACTTTTTAAGAACTAATCAGTCCCATAACTCACATCCATTTAATAGTCATTGTAGCAGTTTGTCATTCGACGAGGAAATTTACTGGATAATCATTTACTCTAACTGATCTTATGCATCAGAAAAGGGCACATTGTCTATCAGGTCTAAAAGCGCTGCTGCGAATTCTGTGAGCGGACTTATTCACGATGTAACAATGAACAATGTTATTATTAATATACGAGAAATAAACGTTAACACTATAAACCGAACTGACTACATATAGGCACGGTTAAAACGTTAGAGCCGTTCGAATCTGCCCACCCTTTCTGTTCAACGACCTTGAACGGCCTGAGCAGAGGTAGTCATTCCGTATTTCAATTGTCGTGGGTTAGTTGGATTGCATGAGTATCACGTTTTTTTTTCATATATAAGGCATCTTATGTTGCATTAAAAAGCACAAAATAACTACCAAAAGTATTGATCTAGCATTCTGTTTTGTAGTGTACACGTTGGCTCTGTTGTTGCTTCGTAACTTGATCTGTGATCCCAACAACTGTAGTAAACCTCAACGAAATGTCAAGTCACCGGTAAATCCTAAGTATTTGTAGTATTTCCTTGGGTTATTATTGTTGCAAGGAATAACATTTTTATAATTAATGATCTTTGTTTGTAGTGCTTCATGCTCAAGTGACATTTCAGTGGACCTTAGCGATGGTTGTGAACAAGCGTTTCGCATGCTGGGATGATTTTGATAGAGCGCTAAAAGAGTTCCAATAAGTATGGATGAATAATTTTATACCTTCTCAGACTACTTATACTCGTTACATCCACACGGAAAGCAAGTTCCTGAAGGATGTCAAGTTCAAATACCTGTTTGTAACGTTTCACTGTACATTTGGTCATCAGCGGAAATCGGAAGTTTTGAAATTGAGGCAAAAACCGTGAGGACTTTAACTAATATCTGACGTTTAAGGTCTAAATTCCGTAATTGCTAATCAAAGTTCCGTGTAAGACTAGAGGAGCAAGGATACGTCATCAAATCCTACAACATGCTCCACAATCATTCATGTAGTAGTTCATGGATGGTTTGTGATCCATGGACAAGAAGATTGTCATCCGAAGAAAAAGAAAACTTGAAGCCAGTAATATTGCACTGTCAGTCAGCAGATGATGTTATAGGAAGTATTAAGGAGAGAACTGGTAAGCAAGTAACTCCTGTCGACGTCAAAGGTATGAAAGGTGAGCTCTCAACTGGTAAGTGTATAGAAATATATTTCAGGTTGCACTCGAAAGCAGGTACTGCATATGCTGCGACAAAAAGGTGAAGTGAGGGAACATTTGGAAAATGAATATGTAACGAGAATATGTTTCAGTAGTTATGATCAAATACACTTGCACAATAAATATCCGGAAGTTCTGTGTATTGATTCTACGTATGATACTAATAATAATAAGTGATTATGTTTTTCCTTGTATTCTACTTTGTAGATATTCATTATTCCAGTTGGTTGTAACAGATAATTTTGAACCAGGACGTACTGTAATGTTTGCGTGGACGCGAAAAGAAATGCGTGCAGATGTCATCTGGATTCTTGATAAATTCAAAGAAATCATGGGAAGCACAACAGGGACAGAAACATTTGTTATGGACTGCGCACGAGCAGAAAGCGCGGCTGTCCGTATCCTACACGGGCATGCAAACATCATTATGTGCACCTTTCACTTAATTCTCACTTTCCGTTAAAAGTACACCCCTGGTTGCTTAAATAAAATTGCCCTTAGACACATGACAAGATAATGAGAACGTACCTGACTCGATTGGTAACTGCAGAAACGGTTGGAAGGTATTTTTAAATGTATTTATTCACCAGATTTAATCAATATTTCAGAATAATAAACCAGAGAGACAGAGTGATAGGCCATTACCTATCTCGTTTTTGGATGTCACGTAAAGCAATGTGGGCGCTTGCGTTTTATGGCAATATTTTAACTTCCGTCGCGAAACGGTCACCATATTTCTCAGTGATGTGATGCCTAAAAACTCTTTGTCGTCGTAGAATCCGTATATACTCATCAATCCGTCTCGGCATATTGCTTAAACAACAAGTACAATCACTTAATGATAAATGTACATGCAGTGAAAAATTGACAAAATAAGTACAAATAACATCGAAAACTATTCACAAAATAAGCTTGTCGTGCATATCTCCACATATGTTCTTCGATGACCGATATGCATCATAATGCACTTGGAAGCATTTATCGACAACTGCCGAATTCTGGCCTATTCGAAATTTTTTCACAGGTCGTTTTGAAGGTCTAAACTTTCACCCTCACTTTCTATATTTCTGCGTATCTTGATATCGTTAGCAAATAACAAAACCGATGACGATAGGAGATTAAGAAGATCGTGTATATACGAGAGAACTAAAACGTCCTAAATCAGTACTCTGAGGCACTCCGTTAAATAAGGTTTCCCGACCGACAACTTGGATTTCACGCGTGCCCTCTGTTGGCGCTCAATCGCAATATTACTTAAATTCATTAACACCTGTTTTCTATGAACTTTTTGTAAGCCTAACTGAAGCTTGTGAGAGTTTCATCTATAGGTAGCTTTTATTCTTAAAGAGCTCACCAGCTTTCGAGGGATACTAATAAATTTTCGAGACATGAATAACCTGTTCTAAAACCGTACTGCTTTTCATAAAAAATGCGGTTTTCTTCCAGTCATTCTATAAGTTCTTTCGAATATTCTTCTTCAGTCTCCAGTAATAAGGATAGTAGGTTGGTGAACTTGTGTTAATCCTGACATACTGGCCTCCAGTGAAGATTCAGCTTCTCCTTGAAAATATTCACTGATGGGGCTGATACCACTTCTTCATGTATGGTGTTACAGTAATTGACTGTACCCCACCTTAAGTTCATTTGATCGCGATTTGTGAGCTCTGGAGATTTTAGCGCTGGAGGAAGCAAAAAGATGAGTCATATTATTACTCAAACCATGCTTAAAGATACGAAATGTCAGTATAAGATCACCTCGCGTCCTACGATACGACAAGGGGAAAAGGCTTAAGAGGTTTAAGCGCTCACCGCAAAGGAGTTTAGAAAGACCCTTCACTAAATTTGTTCCCACACGCTGAACACGCTCAAGTGAGCTAGTTTCCTTTATCAGACGTCAGCTAGCTGCTCGGATACAGTACTCTAAATGTGGTCTTACATAGGTGAGATATAAAATTCGAAACATTTCCTCATCAAATCATTTGAATGCTCTGCGAAGTGACTATAGATAACGAAAACCTTTGACAGCAACTGCGTTACAATGAGTAGTTGTTTTCACGTCATGGCTTGGCATTACTCTTAGGTCTTTATGTTCTTGAACGCGTGAAAGAGATGTACCATCAATAGTATAAATGTAACTATTAACGTGTCCGATGTGCGTGAGCACAATCTCCCTATAAATAACTTATAACGTGATGTGATGTTCACAGATTTTAGCAAAGCATTTGACAAGGTTTCACACTTTGGTCTTATGCAGAAGCTTTTAAGCTTCGGAATAATAGGTGCCATACAGGAATGGATAGGAAACTTCATATGTGACAACAGACAGAGAATGAGGGTCAATGGAACGCTATCCGAATAGAAGCCGATCAAAAGTGGTGTACCCAAGGCGCCATTTTAGGCCCTCTACTTTTCCTTCTCCACGTTATTGAATTACCGCTGTTGCTTAAGTCATCGACATTATTGTTTGCAGATGATGTAAAAATCTGGAGAACAGTAATAAGTGAGGCTGATCATTTGGATCTCCAAGCTGACTTAGATGACTTGGTTAGATAGACTCGAGGCTGTTGTCCAATCCTTTCTCTCAATAAGTTAGTCAAGCATGAACGCTTGTTATGAAACTCATGTTGCTCGGGAGTTAACAGATTGTGTGAATCTCTGTGACTCAGTAACCTAACCCGAATTATCTTCTCAAGTAACTTGTCGATTATGCTGATTAGACTGACAAACCGGTAGTTAGATAGGATCTGCCTCTGACCATCCTCAAATGTAGGACTAAATATAGCGTCTTTTCAATCTCTACGGAGTTGAGCGAGTGAAAGGGACATGTTGAAGAGTGTCGCGAGCAAGAGATGACAATGGCTGTGAATGTAATCCGTCAGTGCCCGGTATCTTATAAGGTTTGAGATTAGTTATCAATGGAAGAACAGTTTCGTCAATCAAATGTACAGATCCAATGGCTGGTATCTCGGTGTGATTGGGACAAGTATCGGCAACAATACGCGTATAGTAAACTTCGCTAAAATAGTTTGATAGTCCTAGTTTTCGCCCGATTTGATTCAGATAGTGAATCTGAATTTTCGTGTAACAGTAACAGGGGAATACTATCGTTACGTTTTACTCGTCGTCTAATATACGAAAACGATCGCTTCAGACAAGTGCAACTATCATATGCCAATTGTTGTTCGTAAATTGTATAGGATTTAGCTATGGTGTTTATGCATATGCTCCGGATTTTTTTATATTCACACTTAAATGATGCGTGTCCTGTTGATAAGAATAAGTCCCAGAAGTGTTTCCTGAGCCTCAACAGCTTCCGGGTTTCCTTATTAATCCATAATGGGCAATGCGATAGTTTACGTGTTGACCATGGGATAAACGGACTCGAATTTAGCCTTAAACGTATTCCATTCGTTTTCGATCGATCCATCCACGTCAACCGACCAGTCAGTCGACATAGCACTGTCTCTGATTACCGGAATATTAGCTCGCCAGATATTGAGACGGAGTGGTACAGATACAAGTTGTATGCCATGTGCCCTAAACTTAAATTAGAGTACAACGTGATCACTATTCACTAGTGGGGGAAGGTGCTGAATGTCGATGACATCCTCACAGTGGTGTGTGAAGACAAGACCCACCAATGACGGGTCATATTACAAGTCAAGGTTTGTTGGTTTTGCGATACACTGTACAAGTGCACACTGAATAATGGTTGACAGAAGGTCGACATCGAAACCCTCACCTGGAGCTATAATCACCTTAAGGTTAGGACTGGAATATGTTATCGACAATGCTAGTCCCAATGAATAGAGCTACTCCTTTACGTCCATGGGTTTCGTCGGTTCGTATCAACGTACACCTAACAAAGTCAAGTCCCCCAGTGTTTACAAACTGTGTCAGGCAACTTTTGTGATGGTGACTACATCAGGCTTGGCGGTTTCTATACTTACACCTGGTTCCGATCGCTTTTCGAGGGGTTTCCGTAGGTTTGTGTAACAGATCTGAAGACCATTTAGGTGATTACGTGCTGTACAAGATGTGGCTTTGGTATCAATCTCTGTCGAAGC